GTCACCACTACACTATACTAAAAGGCTTCATTAAAAAATAGCTCAAAAATATTTTGAAGCTTCAAATTTTTTCAACTTTATCCACCTCAAAAGTAACAGTACAGTGAAATGTCACTACAGTCAGTTATTTCCTGCATTTCATTTTATAAAAAAACAAAGCTTGATACATAGACAAGCTTGCACATTCCTCTCCAAAAACAGATGCCAACATCTCTAATAAACACCTCACTGTTTATTTCAAACTTCGAAGTTAGCCAGAAATGCTCTGCAATCTTAAGCTGTGCTAATACCTTGGCACAATCTACAGGTCAGCCCTGTTTATACTTACATGCTCAGGTTTATCTTTAAGAAGCTGTTTTATCTTCTGAACAGCTGATGGGGTCTGAAAAACAAGAACATATACAATTTCAATTTTTTTTTTTATTTGCAGTGAGTGTTCGCACATATTAAAACATGCAATGTACGTAGTTGTACTATAAAAAATTTCTGTTTCAACTCTGTGCACTCAAGTTTTCTTAGTTTACACTTGTCTCCTATCTGCGAAGTTCACCTTCAGCATCAGCCATCTGTCAGTATTGACTAGCCTGTGCTCTACTTGAAACCGATGTCTGATCTGAAGATACACACTCTGCTGTAAAACAGATGATTGCTGAGTCTAATCCATACAGAACACAATACTTCTTCACTCCCCTCCTCACCCACACCGCTGGCAAACAGATAGCTCAAGAACTGCAGTCCTTAATATTAGCGCATTTGGTTACGTGCCCCTCCACCAGTGCCCAAATCGCTACAACTGAATTAAGTAGTTCTGCTCTTGTGAAATTTTTGCCACATATACATTACAGACAAAAATCAATTAGGCACAGAAGTGTTTATGGCCTACTTCTCTCTTCCCACTAACCTAGAGAGCAACTGTCATGTTACAGCAGATAAATTCACTGTTCATGCAGATCTAGTTGTTGCAGAAATACAGGAACACAACACAATCGTAAGAATTTCCATTACATGCTCTCAAGTTTCTAAGACACTGAGAAAAGGAAAAGCATTAGTAACGGGAAGTTCTTACCACAAGCAGACTTAAACACACAAAGCAAACTACAAGCAGACTTACAGTAGAAAACGTTTGCCAACTACTGCTATTAATCTTCATTTGTTAAAGAATCACTACTGAACAGGAATTACCTGCTCCGATTGAACTATATGTACTTAATCTGACCCTGTTCCTGCAGGGCACTGACTGTACTTTCCTCTGCAGCAATCCCTCTCAACAATACAGCCTCTCCAACACTGCTGCTAGCAGCAAACGCACTTCCTCAATCAACCAAAGGGTAAAAAGCTTCCTTAGAAACAACTGAGGCTTCTGTAGATAATGGCTTTTTTTTTTTTTTTTTTAAATAAATACACTTCTTCGGGTGACTGTGCAAAAACGCCCCCTGCATGAAGGGAGCACACTGATGTTCCCTCCTCCCGCCGCCTGCCCTCCGCGGTCCTGGTTTCCGCGCGGGTTGCCCGCACACGGCGCAGAGGAGCGCGGGGCCTTCTCCCCAGCGGGATTAGCAAGGAGTAAGGAGCAAAAGCTCCCCCCGCAGTAAATTCACGAGAGGGA